AACTTACGGTTACATGTAGCCATTTCAATTGTAAATTGCTAATACCTTGCCGTCGAACTAGTACTGCGTTTAAATTCATAAAGTTTCATGTACCATTGCGGAAAGTTCATGAGAACAATTACGATGAAAATATTTATAAAAAAGAAACAAAGGCTGTGGGAAAGGGACTAAAGCTGAGATGCCAAGTCAGGACCGAAAACATTGCAGATTCTTCTTTGGTTTTTATTAAGAATCTCCAAATATATTGCAGGAAAACCAGACAAGATGTGACAGCAATATTCTAAACATCGACGAATGGCAGACCTATGAATGTGTAAAATAGATTCTAGTGAGTAACAATATTGAATCGACTTGTAAAGGTGTCACATAGATTCTGGCGAGAAAATCCGTCTAGCACAACACAGTGAACCAACTTCTTTAGCTGTAAATTCAATATATTTTTTCCTCAATTCTCAAGAACAAAGACATTGTATAAATTTGCTTTCATCGTTTTATTACAATTCTAAACATCGCTTTGTAAAACAATAAATATAGCCGAAGAGTGGAGGTAGTTAAAATAATAGCGGTGTCAAGGAAAAAAACGTCCTTTTGACACTAAGTTTTTGGCGGGCATGAAGGTCCATATTTGCGGTTACATAATCACAAAACAGTGTGATGTGAATTTATTAAGCATCACTCATTCTTTCTGGAGTACCTGTTATCTTTCTGCGGTACCATTTATCAATCTCTTTTGCGTAGAGCATCTTCTTTCCGCCTAGTTCGGAAGAAGCGTATAACTTGTCGATTCCAAAACAAATGAACATTTTGTCATTGAAAACAATAAAAAAAATTGATTTGGTTTGCTTGGTTTGTTTTGTTATACGGCATATCAACACCACAATGGGTTATTTAATGCCGACAAGATTTGTATAGGTGGTAATAATTTTTCCAAAAAAGTATTGCTAGTATTAAAACCTATTTTTATATTTTCGTAGTATTTGGGTCCTTTTGGCGCGGGTTAACTATTTACCCATAGCTGAGACCCTGACCGGTGCTACCACAAGGGTCAGAATGGACATGGGAACATCAGCAATTAAGAGGTGCTTCCATACTCCTAAAAAAATCCCGATGAAATGTTTTGCGGATGTAGTTTATCGTCTTACCCATGATGCGGATGTAGTTTATCGTCTTACCCAGGACGCGGATGCAGTTTATCGTCTTACCCAGGACGCGGATGTAGTTTATCGCCATACCCAGGATGCGGATGCAGTTTATCGTCTTACCCAGGACGCGGATGTAGTTAATCGTCTTACCCAGAACGCGGAAGCAGTTTATCGTCATACTCAGAACGGAAATCTTTTGATCAGTATGCCTTTGGATATTTCCGTTTCATTTAATTCTCCTTGGTCCCCAAGGACACATTGCTCAGTGGAGTAAAGCGTTGGTTGAGTGATCCTAAACGTAACTTGGCCCATAGAGTTGTGAGTTCAATACCTGTTCACATCAGCGGGAAAAAAAAACTTCGAGAGTTGAATTACCAAGGGGAATTAACTGAAACTGAAATATTCAAGGACATGGCACAATCTACCGCCACATACTAAAGAAAAGGTTTAGTTTGAATTTCTGAGAGATATCAGCTGAAGAAAGCCGGAGCGTACAATGGCCGAAACATTGTGAAGTGGTTACATTGAACCTTACATGTCATGCATTGCACATGTCTATGTTTAATGCAGGACAATCTCCTCAGAGATGAAGAAGGGAAATGTGGTTCTACAGAAGGATGCTAAGAATACCATGGACCAGACACGTGAAGAATTTTTGGTGATAATTATAATTTTCTGAGACAAATCCGACTGTTTAACCCATATCTGGGAGGAGAGGAGATGGATTCTTACCTTTCCCAAGGCTATTTGCATGTAAATGAATATAACCACCCTGGCTAGTATTTGAACTCGGTTCTCCAATTTTCCATTCCAAACTGTTATCCATCATACTACCTGCACATCCAGGCTTACAGAAACTGGTATTCTTGAGCGGTCACCCGTCTAGGTAATGACTTAGGTTAAGATTGCTTAACTTCAGTGATTGGATGAGAACTGGTGTATCAATGCAGATATGGCTGTAAGCCATATATGGATTGAAATGAACAGTGGTTACATTTAACCTTACATGTCATACATTGTACATATCTATGTTTAATGCTGGACAATCTCCTCAGAAATGAAGAAAAGAAATGTGGTTCTACAGAAGGATGCTGAGAATACCATGGGCCAAACATGTGAGTAACAACGAAGTTTTAGAAAAAATGGAAAAAAACAACAAAAAAACTTATACTTAATGTCAGGAAGAAACAATTGAAATTTCGAGGATGCTTAATTAGGAAAGAGAGCTTGGAAAATTAGATACTCACAAGACTTTTTGACGAGGCAGAAGAAAACAATAAATAATCTACTTAGTGAGATTTGTCTATATTTTTCAGATGAGGTCACGTAATTATTTACATATGCACATGGCCCAGTAGTTTAAGTGTTGGTTTATTGATCAAAAAAATTACTTGACCCAAAGAGTCGTGAGTTCAGTTTCTGGCCTCAGCAGAGAGAACAAGTTATCAAGGGAAATGAACTAAAACTGAAATATCCAAAGGCATGGCACGTGGAATTAGAACAATCTATCCCTGTGGACTAAATAAAGGGTTCGGTTCGAAATTACAACATCGCCTGAAGAATGTCGGCACGTAAAACGTCCGAAACGTCGTAAATATGGGAATAAAGATGAGGGCAATAGTCTAAACAATTTCAATAGTGTAAATTGAAAATACGATCTTTCAAAGAGAAATGTGAACGCCTCTTTTATATAAAGAAACAGATGGATTAAACTGTATTGAAATAAATACCCCTCAGGATATTCATGGTTCGCCACAGCTTCCTATCTTTGATTACACTTAATATTATTTGCTTCACCTTGACCCCACTTGTTTCGCCAACCATTTCCTCAAACATATCAAGGTTTCCCACTACTTTTCTGTGCTTCTTTGTCCTTCAATATATCCAGTGAGTGTTTAATTCTACAAACCGCCTCTCCTCATTCTCGCCCTAAAATTCCAATTGTATTTTATGATATTTAAAGCGAGGATAATACCCATCTAACTTTAAGTTATTTTCTGCCATATAAAGACAGCGGTTCGCGTTCCATTACAGAAGTTAAGCAACATCGAATCTGATCAATACCGGGATGGGTAACCGATTGGGAATACCAAGTTCAGTAAGCTTGGATATGTTGGTGGTATAAAATGTTTACAGTCATATCACATTGAAACACCGATTCTCGTACGATCACCGAAGTTAAGCAACGTCAATCCTGGTTAGATGGGTGACTGCTTCAGAATGCCAGCTTACCAATGTAAGCTTGGATATGTTGATGATATAAAGTGTTTACGGACATATCACGTTGAAAAATCGGTTCCCGTACGTTCACTGTAGTTAAGCAACGTCGATCCTGGTTAGTACTTATATGGGTGACCGCTGGGGAATACCAGGTTCTGTAAGCTTGGATATGTTGGTGGTATAAAGGGCTTACGGCCATATCACATTGAAACACCGGTTCCCGTAGAACACTGAAGTTAAGCAACGGTCAGTATCTAGATGGGTGACCGCTTGGAAATACCAAACGCTGTAAGCTTGGATATGTTGCTGGTATAAATGGTTTACAGTCATATCACATTGAAACATGAATGCTGTAAGCTTGGGTGTTCGGTGGTATAAACGGCGTTAGGCCATATCACGTTGAAACGACGATTCTGCTACGATCACAAAAGTTAAGCAACGTCGAGCGTGGTTAGTGTGTGGATGGTTGATCGCTTGGGAATACCAGGAGTTGTAAGCTTGGGTGGATAACAGCCTGGAATTTGAAATCAGTGGGTCGATTTTTAATTCTAGTCGAAGATTTTCTAGCTTTAAATAAGTGGAAAAGGCTTGATAAAAAAAATACAAATCAATCAATTCTCGATAGAATCTGCCATGTACCTTCAGATATCGTCAGACATATACCTAGAGAATGTAATGTCTACCTTTCTTTCACCTGATATCGGTTCATTTTAGGCTAAAAAGAAAAGGTGTTTTCTGTTAACCACCAGATACAGTCCTACGAACCGGATTTTTACGTTAAGATTTCATTGTTGGCATTTTGATCGATCCGCTGGTAAGAGTTTTGCTTTTGCAATATTGACTGGAAGATTAAAAATGCCGACGGATTTTGCAAACAGGTAACACCATCTGTGCTAAATTCTTAAAATCATTTTCCTTTAGGTAACATTTATTCGATTTAGTTCCATCTGCGCAAAATAATGCCCGAGTCTCTAATTCCATTTGATAATTCCAAAAGTAATTGTCTCCGAAGTTCTCTTCAATTATTTTAAAACATTTTCTCCAAATATTGATTTTTCTTGATGAATCTCAGCACATACACACAACGAAGCGAAGAAAAATAAAAACATATTTTAAAGCTGTTTCAGTTACGTCAACAAACGTCTCTCGGGATGGTAGCCTAGTGGATAATAAGCAAGGTTTAAACTGTTGTAGTTATTTGGTTGTCGTGAGTTCAATCCTTTTATACGATACTGTGGTTTATTTTCTTTAACTGCATATCAACACCTCTATGGGTTATTTAATCCTGAAATCTACATATTTAAAACATAATTTTATGGCTTCAACTACAAATGAAATGTATTGTTGGTGATTTTGCTTTGAATATATATGTTGATTTTGTTTCCTGGCATATCAACACCTCTATGGGTTATTTAATCCTGAAATCTAAATATTTTGTACGTAATTTTATACTTTCATTTTTCTTTTTTTTAGATATATAGTTTGTAGATCATAAATGTATTGTTTTGTTTTGGTTTATTTGGTTTTACGGTATATCAACACCTCAATGGGTTATTTAATGCCGACAGGGTTTTCAGGATAAGTTCGCATGAATAGAATATGTATTCTTTGTAAGAAATCAGTTTATAGATCAGGTTTTATTGACTCATTTTAAAGACGGTTTTTGCTGATAATTGCTGGTATTTTTGCTGTGTATTGCTGGTATTTTCTTCACAAATATATTGCTGGTAATTTACTTATATAAATATATTCTTTGTTGGGACCAAATAAATGGTTGAGTACACCAGAAGGGTATTACACGACTAGTGAGAGTGTATCGTATGAACCAGCGATCCATCTCTTCACTGTCAGTGTTGTAATTAACACTGGATACCCTTTTGTCGTAGAGTCGGATTAGAATTCCTTTCCTCACCACTGTTGTAGACACTGGCAAAAAAAAATTGTGATTTAACGTGAAGTCCGTTTCTTCAAATCCTTCGTCGCCAAGTTGTTGTGACCAAGTAAATGTTTAAGAAATAACAAAAACCAGGTTTGCAGATATATATAGATGTATATTAAACAGTAAGTACACCAGAAGAGTATTACGCGACTAGTGAGCGTGTATCGAATGAACTAGTGTTCAATCTATTCACAGTTCCCTGTTACCCGGACCTTCTCTCCTACTAAACTTATAGTAGGCGGAAGAGAACATATATGTAACATAGACTCTTTAGAGGAGGACACGACAACATTTTTATATTTTCATAGTGTTTGATTACAGTTAAAGGGTTAATTATTTATCCATAGCTTGAACTCCCTAATAGGTGCTACCACCCGTGTCAGGGTGAACCTGGGAACAACACCATTTAAGATGCGGTTTCACGCTCCTATGAACGTCCCGATTACAGGCCTTGCTATCGGATATAGTTTCGTCATGCCCAGAACGGAAACGCCCTGTCGGCTGGGGCTTCAGAATACGCTGACTGTACTTCTGCAGAGGAGTACGTCCCCAAACCAATGAGGCCGCCTGTTTACCGTGAGTGGCGTCCCGTAATGTCTGAAGACCGGATCTTGGTGATTAAGGGCTTCTGGAATCAGGGTTAGATATTCTAATCCCTAAAACATATTGGTATTGAACTTACAACTCACAACTGTCCTTGGTCTAGAAACTAGACCCAAAGAGTTGTGAGTTCAATACCAGGCCACAGGAGTGCTGAACCAAAAACTTAGAGAGTTAAAAAAAAAAATAACTGAGACATCCGGAAAAGACATGACACATGGAACTAAAAAAAAATCTACCCTGGTGGACGAAATAAACGGTTCAATTCGAAATTCAAATCATCTGAAGAAGGCCGGAGTGTACAACGGCCGAATATTGTGAATATGGCAATGAAGATGAGGATAACAGTCCGAATAATTTAGATAATGCAAGTAAACATAATACCTCATCTTAGAGATATAGACAGATATATAGAGAGACATAGACATAAAGGCCGGAGCGTACAACGGCCTAAACGTTGTGAATATGGCAATGCAGATGAGGATAACAGTCTGAATAATGTAAATAATACAAGTAATCATGATACCTCATCTCAGAGCTATAGGCAGATATATAGAGAATATAGACATAAAGACATACAACGGCCGGAATATGGCAATAAAGATGAGGAGTCCGAATAATGTAAATAATGCAAGTAATCATAAACCTCATCTCAGAGATATAGACAGATATATAGAGAGACATAGATTTACAAAGGGATACAACGGCCGAAACGTTGTGAATATGGCAATGAGGATAACAGTCCGAATAATGTAAATAATACAAGTAATCATAATACCTCATCTCAGAGATATAGACAGATATATAGAGAGAGAATAAATAGACAACGGCCGAAACGTTGTGGGAATATGGCAAAATGCAGATGAGGACAACAGTCCGTAAATAAACGTCATCTCAGAATATAGACATATAGAAGATGAGGATAGCACAACCGAAATGAATATGGCAATGAAATGAATGCGAATAATGTATAATGCAAGTAATCATGATACCTCATCTCAGAGCTATAGACAGAGATATAAAGAAAAAGAAATATACAACGGCCGAAAGGATAACAGTCCGAATAATGTAAATAATGCATGTAATCACAACCTCATCTCAGAGCTATAGACAGATATATAAAGAAATATAGAATATGGCGAAATGAATATGGCAAGATGAGGATAACAGTCCGAATAATGTAAATAATACAAGTAATCATTATACCTCATCTCAGAGATATAGACAGATATATGGAGAAATATAGACATAAAGGCCGGAGTGTCCAACGGCTGAAATGTTGTGAATATGGCAATGAAGATAATGATAACAGTCCGAATAATGTAAATAATGCAAGTAATCATGATACCTCATCTCAGAGATATAGGCAGATATATAGAGAGACATAGACATAAAGGCCGGAGTGTACAACGGCCGAAACGTGAATATGGCAATGAAGATGAGGATAACAGTCCGAATAATGTAAATAATGCTAGACCGTACTACATGAAAGACTGGATACTTCTAAGTGAGTCATTAGAAGCAGAGAGTTATCTCTGGCCACACCTGAAGAAATCACATCTCTCTTAGGAATCAGTATAAAAAGAAAAACGTAAGAAAAACGATAACAACAGACACGTATACCCTTAATTTTGCCACACCTCAAATCCCTAGAAAAATAAAAGTCGGACACAATATTGAATCAGTATAACAATATATCCCTGCTCCCCTAAGGTGGTTGAAGTGCCAAATATTTGAACATCATAGGGATAGCTGCAGGGGTCATCCAAGACGTGGAAAATGTGGCCAAAGCAATTCAGACCACACGGAGAAAGGCTGTCACTATGAAGGGTGATGTACAAAATGGCAGGAAAAATATCCAACATATCCATCATCACGCGAAAAGGGAAAAAGAGATCGACGGGGTGTAAACACAAATGACATATCTCCTTCATAGATGCAAGAAACCTACATGATAGGTCCTTCCTATTCAAAAAAATCATCATCAGGTCAAAACTTCTGGTACCTTCCAACCATCTCTTTCAGACATCGCTGTCGGCTGGTCATCCAGATGGCATCCAGAGTCATCTACAAGTTGGTTAATGTAGGTGTAAAGAGGTCTTCTAGCCAGTCTATTGCCGCGCAATAGGTTCCATAGCAGGGCCTCACTCAGAATATCTGATTTAATTCTCCAGGAGTGACCAGCTAGCCGAAACTTTCCCTCTCTTAGATAGGAGGAAGGTGTCCCTACAGGCGTTTTTTTTTTAAGATTGTCAGAGAGGAAGGACTTCCAGATGGTACCCAGACCATCAAGGACACCCTTGCCTTTGCGAATTTTGATGTCTCTCTCCGTTGACTTGATCTTGCTACCGAGGTAAACAAATTCCTGGACGGATTTGATGTTGTTGCCGTTTATCAATTTAATTTCTCCTTCTTGGTTGAAGCTGATAAATTCTGTTTTGCCAGCATTAATGTAGAGACCAATCTCGCTGGCTGCTTCTTCGATGAGATGGAGAAATTTGGTAGCCTTATTAATCGTGTCTGACAACAAGACAAGGTCATCTGCATAATGGAAATATAACCACAAAGAATACCAGTGAACCTGATAAATACAGAGCCCTCGTTGAGAGGTTCGCACATTTAG